CCAAAACCCACCGAGAAGGTAGATAACTGGGGGACTAGACCCTGACGTAGCTTCCCCCCCCTCCCTCCCCCTTCCCTAATGGGCTCCAAAACCCACCGAGAAGGTAGATAACTGGGGGGGGATACCACATATATATATATATATATATATATAAGGCCAGAGAGTTTTAAGTTCGCCCATTTGGTTTTTACGTTAAAGATGGTTAAAGGAGCCCTTGAACAACTTTAAAATGCAAGCCGAAGGGCGGCTTCTGATGCCAAGTCCTCGTTCGACGCCTTCCGCATGGCGTCCACCAGCAGCTTCACACACTCTTTGGCGTGCCTCTTCGGGCTTGGGGTTTAGGGTTTAGGGTTTTGGGGTGCCTTTTGGGGCTTGGCGTCTTTGTAAGCTTCATGGTGTTGGGATTTGGGGTCTTTTAGGTCGTTGGGTTTTGCTCCTAGGTTTTGGGGCGGGGTTTGGAGAGCAGGGCTATGGGCTGACAGTTTGGAGCTTTAGGGCTTAGAACTTACAGCTCGGAGTTTAAAGCTTGAGGGCTGAGTTCGGTAGGATAGTTGAAGTTGAGGGATGTTAGGATTGTAGGATTCAGGGTTCAGGGCAATTCAGGGTTCAGGGTTCAGGAAGTAGGGTTCAGGTATTTCGGGGTTGGGGACCTGGAAATAGGGCAGGTAACCGCAGTATTGCTGTCCTATTTGCTTTGAAACCTATACCTTAAAACTTGAATCTGCTCACAAGAATCTTCCGGGACAGTTGGCAGGATTCGGACGGGGGGGAGCGAGGCTGCAGATTCACGGCCGAGGAGGTTTCGGGCTCAGGGCATGCGGGTTCACGGCAATGGGTTCAGGTTTAGAGTGGAAGGTGCGCCTTAGGGTTCAGGTCTTCGGGACCTTTGGGCTGAGTGTTTCAGTTCAGGTACTCCTCGCAGATGCGCAGGCCCTCCAGGGTCATCTTCGCCACCTGTTCCTGCCAACAGGTATTAACCCATCCAAAGATCTCAAGGCTAAGGGTCCAAAAACTTGAACATACCCAGACCTTCCAATATTTTTTTAAATAAAGAATGTAGCGTAAATCATTCCTTTAGAAAGCATCTTGTCTTAGGGTTCTATATTGCTTCTGGTTTTGGCACACGGGTTTTTCTTGGGCCCATGTACCCATGATGACGCAATGGATATATTTGGGCTTAAACGCCTAAGGTTGTTGGATTAGTGGGTCTTTTCGGGTTAGGGTTGAAGGGCTGGAACGCCTCCAATGCTCGCACTCATGAACTAAGCTGGAATCTGTAAGGAACCCCTGGCCCCTTACGGGCTGCTTCGCATTTTGTTCTAGGTTGCTTGTGTCTTCAACTGCAGTTTGTCAACAGTCCACGATTTCGGGGCTCCGGGCGCCGTGAAACACTTGTATACGTCAGGTTTCAATGACCTTCCAGAACCCGTTAATTAAGGAACATACGTTAAGTGTTGGCGGCTTCACTTAAGGGATCCCCTACAGAAACCCATGCAGGGGCATCGAAAGCAAGCGTACAAATTCTGAAAACGATCAAACGATCATAGTGAACCCGGGAAAAAACCGTTGAAGGAAAGTCTCATAGAACCCTCAAGTTGAACCCGTGAGGAACCATATAGAGCCTGCAATTCCTCATGCTTCAACTCCTGAGCCATCCTCGCCAACCTTTGTTCGGTGAGTTTCCGGCGATCAGTTCGGGCTTAGGTTAGGGAATTTTTGTTGTTGAAGGCTCCTTTTCCGCAGTTGACTCACGTGAAAGCTGAGCTGGTGGAGGGTTCTGCGGCCGTTTGTTGTTGACGGGACGGGCCTTTATGCTTTGAAGACCGTTAAAAGGTTACAGTACTCCGTCCCCTAGTCCCCAACAGGCACCTGGACGAAAACTTCAAAGACTGCGTATCCAACGCTGCGAATGAAGGCCCCGACTTTGTTTTGGTTGTAATTTTGCGATGGGTGACTTTGGATGACTTAGGGTCCAGGGATCAGGGGTGTAGAATTTTCGCGCTTAGGCCTAGGCCCCACGGCTGTAGTTTGAACATCGGGGATAAATTTTAGTGCTTACATCGAGCTTCGAGCCTGGAGTGGAGAGCCAAACTGACCGCTGGCATTTTTTTTGAAAAAACAAAACCCTTGAAAAGTGTCTTGGGTCATGTTTTGCCAAAATAGAACAATAGCCAACCCGAAGGAAGATTTGCACCAGTTGCTCAAGTCCCTGCGGAAAACCCCTAACCCCCCAAAACCCTTCGAGAACCCTCAAGGAACCATTTAAGGAGCTGTAAAGAAAGTTGGGATGATGAAACGAACATGAAATCGCACTTTCTCTTTCTCTCGCTCTCTCCCGACAGCTGTTTGGAGTGGGGCGTTAACAAAAACCCAAGACGGGTTTCGCACAAGCAACTTTAGCGGCAGAGCAAAGGAACTTCCCGTTTTCGGACCTTTTTGAATGCAGTGTATTGGATTTATAAAAAATGCGATCGCTCTGTGTTTTACGAGTGTCAAATCCTCTGGGCCCGGCAACTTCACCCGCGTTTGCATCGAGACCTCGATTGTGCGTTCTGCACATCCCCATTTTTGCAACGGCGACGCAAAGGCCAAAAACTTTTGGAAACAAGGAGTACGGGGTTGATTAGTCAAGTCAACACAGAAATTGGAGGAAAAGGAATTGGAGAGTATATGCATATCGGAAATGCAGGACAGAAAGCTTCAGGATGCACAAGCACCTTATTTGGTTTGGGAGCGCATCTCACCGGCCGCAGCCAGGCGCAGCAGCTCGAAGGCTACACGCCCAACTGTGTTCCCAGGAGGGCCCACACGACTGGTGCAAGGCACGATTGGTCGACCCCGGTACGCTTGCCGAAGGCGGCCGTACCGTCTAGGAGCTCAATGATGTCGGCCTCCTGCAGTATCTTATCCTTCCGACGCTGTGAGATCGTTTCAAGCTCCCCATTGATCAGGAGTGCTGCTGCTCTTGTGCAGAAAAATGTTCGTGTCCGACCTCGAAAGAAACAACTAATGCTTTAACATCTACTGCTGAAAATATACTGCTGTCGTGTCGCGACTGAGCATGTCTTGGCACTTGATGCAGGAACCGACATTATGTCTTTCGTTCTGCATTGAGGAGCATGCGAAGCCACACGTTGTGCAATACGGGCCTGCGTTCCAGACCTGCTGCTGCATGTCGTGGCAGATGCATTGCACGAGTGGCTGGCCATGACCCTGCAAGCACGCACCTTGTAAGACACAAGCAGGCTTGAGCAAGTCCAGTCGTATGTTCTTGCGGACCGAATGGCTGCAGTTCTTGCAAGCCACTCAGTGCATACATTATAGCACACACTCGCGCTTGCAATCGTCACGTTTCAGATGCTGCGGTAATCCCTGAACAGAAACCGTAAAACACTCATTCCTTCGGGAAAAGGGGTTGCAAAGAACGCTGGTAGAACTGTCGTCCGGCAGAGCAAAACTTATGCAACAAAACATCGGCGGACGACGACTTGATGCTGTCTTGGGCTTGGGAACCAACTTCGCGCACTGTTCAGCGAAACAAATGCTAGCCAGCGCACACTTCTGGCCATTTGGCCGGGCCCCAGGCGTATCAGGATACCCCGACACTGGGTCACCCATGAGATTCTGCCGCGTCCTCAGGATTTTGTTCAGGATTTTGCCCAACGGCAACCCCCCGAAAACCACACACCAGTCAGGCTTTTCTGCAAAGCCACACCCGCTTCTTCAAGGTATCATCGGCCGCGTCTAACCCCTGCAGCATTGCAACCTGCAGGACAAACATGCCAGCATTGGCACGATCAGCGCAATTTAGCTTCTTCCCACGATTACGCAAGTCTTGGCCTGGGATGTTGCGGCCATGCTGGGAGCAGTGAAGCCTGAATGAAAACAAAAACATCTGGCTGACATTGACATGCTTTGCTCAAGTTGCACACGCGATGACGCGCCGCAACAGCCGCGTTGAGTTTCACAACATGTCGTCAACCTTCACTGTGAATCTTTACATTTGACAAGACCTCCCCTCCTTCCCATATGTCCTGCAGGTGGGCCAATGCTGGGCCACCCAGTTACACATGCCAACCGTATGCAAAAAGGCTTGGTCTTCACAACGCCCTTTCGCTTCTACTGCGGACAAATAGCTGTGGGCTGGCTCGAGATATTTGGCGCCGCTTGAGCAAAGACTCTGCGACAAAAGGAACCCTGGCCCCGTAGTATAAACCCCCAACAATGTTATGAAATGGTGTACCATTGCTATAGATGAAAACAGCATGAGAAATAAGAGTGCGCACCCGGCAGGAATTAGGAATAAAACATGCAAATTAGATGAAAACAGCATGAGAAATAAGAGGGCGCACCCGGCAGGGCCGCTGACAGGACGTTTCCACCTTGTACTATCATTCACACTTCGTGCGCAAGTAAACGCTACCTCGCCATAAGACAAAACACAGCATCCGAGCAGTACACCGCCCGTAGCGGCGATGGTCGAGCTTGGAGCTCCTCCACTCCTCCGCCACCTGTGTCTACATGTGCACGGGAGAATGCTTGAATAAACTCGCACATGCTAGCGAAACAAATGACACACCTTACGCAAGATGCACAGCAATATCCAAGACGCAGACCACTTCCTGCACCTTACCAGTGCGCGCTGACACTCACGGAGCAGGATTCATCACACGGACACTTACAAGCACGGTGACACACGCATGCAACAGAAACGATGCCAACCGAAAGACAAGGAGCATCGCAGTCTAAGGACAACACCCCATCGCGCCAACGCCTCGGGACCTGTACAAGATGTTGCTCAGGCCCCGTGGTATGAGTGTAATAGCTGCGGGTATGGGAAACGGAAAGGCTTACATCACATCCATCCCACGCTTCCTAGACATAACACCCTGCAGTTAGATCCGTATCGGTATTCCCTCGGTTCTGCTACGCTTCGGGTCTATTCTCATGTTTCCATGTTCGTTATGCGGCTCGTTCGCATTCAGACGACAACTTAGAGGTACGGAAGCACATTAACTTGTATGGGCGAAGCCCATAACGGCCGTAGATCATGTTTGTTCTACAACGCCGAACCAAGACTAGTTACTGCGAACCTGGCCAATAATCATCCGTACAAGTGTCACAGACAGAAATCGAGGCTTCAACACCCATGTTCGAGAGGGTATGCCTCTTCGTGCTTGAATGACTCGGGCAGTTGCATTGCTACGTCCAGGAGTCAACGTCTCCACTGTACCTTTACACGCCCCCTCTTCGGCTTGAAAGCGAACAGGCAATGAGGACATACCAACTCCAGCACTCCAAAACCGTCCCGAGCCCACGAC